TAAAAATAATAATTTTAAGTATAAAAACTATTTTTATAACAAATATAAATTTGAGAACTAAAAGATAAAAAAATATATAGTTAGAGGACTAACTGTTCTCTAACAGAATAAAAAGTTTTCCGTTATCTTTGACTTTGACTAAGTAGACGAAATTGAAATGAATCTGAAAATTAATAGACCACTTAGAAATAAAACATAATTTTTAGACTAAAATGAAATTAAGGTGATAGTTAATAGACTAAAAATTGAATTAAGCCTTTTTTTTTCCCTTTTGCAACTGTCCTTTTTTATATATATTTAAAGCAAAGATGTTAATGCATTTGAAAGAGGATGGGCTGCAATGATAGATTTTTTAGTATTTTTATCATTTCAAAAATATATAATATGTTTAATATATAAAAATAATATATATTAGTCATGATTTTTCATAAAAAATAAAATCATAACTTTAAAAAAACCACTCTTCAATAAATATTTTTTTAAAATCCAATTTTAAAATTATTATATTCATATAAATTATACGTATTAATTTTTATATTAGTTGAATATATTTAATTAATTTATTAATTATACAAAATTTAATATCATTAACTATTTGTTAAAAAACACAAGTTATTTTATTAGATAATTATACATATTAAATCAACTTAAAAATTAACATCTATAATTTATATCAATGAAATATTAAATTAACTCTTACTTTTTAAAAATATTCATTGGAAAGCTATATTGATATTGGGAGTTGGAACCATTTACCTCCCATTTTAGTTGCTCTAGTGCAAAATGATTCCATAATACGTTCAAGTACTGATCTTGTATAAATAAATAAGACAATAATTGATACATCCTTTGATTTAACACACTGTATAACACGTTTTAATTCATTAATTAAGAAATTAATATTTTTAAATTTGAATTTTAGGTGGGAAAATTTTTTAAAGCAAATTTTAATGACTGAACTGAAAGGTGTTGTTAGGTGTGTTGAACCGAAAAATGTACCAATCATTTTTCAAATAAATATAGATATTATTAAAGAATATACATATTGTAAACTGTCAATAAAATTTCTAAAATATTAAATATCTAGATATTCATAAAATATATATCATTATATACTATCAAAATAAACTTAACTTACCATTTATTAATTATCAACACTGTAAAATAAAAATATTAGACTAAAAAAATGTAAATTAATAAAAAGAAAAAGAAAAAGAAATATATATTGAAATTCATGTGAGAATAATTATGTGAGACAAGATGAAATAAAGATATAAGGTGAATGGTAAGTGATGCAAAATTATCTATTTATACTAGTTTTTGGCAAATATTACCTATGTAATACAAAGATGAAAATTTTGTGCACTTCAAGTTGTAATAAAAGTAGGACCATGATTGGGTGTGCACCCCTCATATATATATATATATATAAAAGAAATAAACCAAGTCATGGACGTTTTTTTTTGTTTATATGGTGTGTGCACACTCGAATGTGCACAAATCATTTTCCAAAAAAGTATGAAAATGTTGTGCACTTAAAGTCAAGTGGACCTGGTAGTCTAAGTCTTTTTGTGGAATTGGTTCGCAACATTTAACACGTCAATGT